AAGGCCTACATGGGAACAGAGGTTTGCACACAAATTCCTGTATTCCCAAGAAGTTTCTTTATGCCTTGCTTAAAGATTCAAAGTAACAGCCTCCAAATGGCAAGGTCAGCAAGGGCAGGTATTCAATCTACCTTGTTCCTCCCTAGCCTCAGGCATTGTCAGATAAGAACAAAGAAGTAATGGCTAACAACATGTTCTCCGTTAAGTTATGTTAAATTGGGTTATGTTGATAGGGTTATGTTAAAAGGTGTATGCTGAGTGGATTATCAGATGTCACATGATGTTTAATTGGATCAATGAGGTCATTGCTGTATGTACAAAATTCCCTATATAAGCCAACTGCAAATAAAGAAGCTCGCCATTTTGCCTGAATGAGCAGATGGCCACCTTTATTTAAAACACAATTTCAATAAGTGTGCTTATTCTCCGCAACATGGCTTTTCTGTGAGACCCTTACAGCAACACAGGGATACTGTCACTGATCCTTCATTCAGTGATGTGACATGAAGTTGCAGGGCCAGGGAATGCAGCATGATATGAATATAATCTTTGGAGCTCTGTCCAAATGAGGTATTTGGGCAGTTCTTGAAGAAACAGGGCTCAACTTGCACAGGCCAGAAATGCACAAAAACTTACATGAGGAAAACTGTAAAACCTTCATGAAGCATCTGGCTCTTACAAGCCAGAATTTAGTCTATGTTATTATATAGATGTGCCAGACAATTAAAATATAGTGTGTTATATTTAAATAACAGCTAAGGCCGGGACTGAGAAAAGCACAGAACACCCTTTTATGCCTTGTTTTATGTTTATAATTTTGTATTCTTAATGAGGTACATATCTTAGTTCATATGTATTGCTATAATGGAATACTTGAGTCTGGGGAATTTTTAAAGAAAGGGGTTTCTTTGGCTCACAGTTCTGCAGGCTGTATGAGAATCATGGTGCCAGCATCTGCTTCTGGTGAGGGCTTCAGGGTGCTCCTGCTCATGGCAGAGGGTGAAGGAGCTCTGGCATGTGCAGAGATCAAGTGGTGAGAGAGGAAGCAAGAGAGCAGGGAGGGAGGCACCAGGCTCTTTTTAACTACCAGCTACACAGGAACAAATATAGCAGGAGCTTACTCATTACTCAAGGATGCCATTAAGCTGACCCAAACATCTACCATTAGGCCCCCCCTCCCTTAACACTGGTGATCCAAATTTCAACATGAGGTTTTAGGGGACAGACATCCAAACTACAGAAGCATCCAAGATTGAAAAGGGCTTCAGGCCCTACAAAACTATCTGATCCTAAATACAAGTCTCTCGGAGGAGTCTCATTGCCATCCTTGCCCTCACCACCTCATTATCCCCCACACCTAAATAATCAACCACTTATATTAATTTCTGGATTCTTCTATCTGTGATTCCTTTTATAAAGTCAAGAAAATATGAATATTCCCATAAATGTACTATAATTCAATCTTTTAGTTTACACCAAAGGTAGCATACTTATATGCATTTTCCTATGTAAAAAACAATTTGAGTGGTCAAATCTATCATTTTTTTCATTTGATTTCTTCTGGATTTTGAGGAATAGTCTAAGCCTTTTTCCACGTCTGGGCTATAAAGAAATTATTTCATGTGTTCTTCTAGTACTTTTCATTTTTATTCTGATATACACTGTGAAGTATGTATCCAATTTTATCTATTTTCATATAAATATCCAATTGAGATGCCATCTTAAGCAAACACCAATGCTTGTGTGTATTTGGCTCTATTTCTGGACTTGTTCTGAACTTGTTCTGCTCCCAGATCTCTTTGTCTATTTATGCATCAATACCACTTTGTTTAATGTCTGGTGGAGCTAGCTCTCCCCGCCACCTTGTGCTAATGTCAATTGTTATTTTATTATAAAAAGTTTGAAATCAACCTGTCTAACCTCAGAAAACAATTTGCTTGGTTTTTAAATTAAGATGGTGTTAAATTCTGCATATGAACTTGGGGGAAACTGACATCTCTGTGATGTTGAATCATCCTATCCAAAAATAAAGGATGTTTCTCCATTTATTCAAGTCTACTGTTGTACCTTCAGGAAGGTTTTATAATTTTCCTCAGGTAGGCTTTTGTGCACTTCTTATGTTTATTCCTAAATGTTTTCTGTTGTTATTGTAATTGGAGTTCATCACATTTTCTAGTTTGTTATTGTAAATATAAACAAAGGCAATTTTTTTTATCTTTTAATTTTATATCCTGCTCCTATACTGAATTCTCATATTGTCGGTATGAATTTAAGACTTGATTTCCTGGGTTTTAAAAGGATGCTATCCTATCATTTACCCATAAATAGAAATAGGTTATCTTTGCTTTTCCAGTTCTTCTTCTCCATAGCAAGAAGGTTGGAATGACACTAAAAGTTCTCTGGGAAAAGTGAGAAGAACTCTGATCCCCTGCACAGATGAAAAGTAACAGAAGAATAACTTTTTAATCAGAGTGGGAAGGGCACCTTATCCCGCCAAAAGGAGTAGGTAGTAGGGTATAGACATTTGGTTTGTTAATCCCTGGAGAGGGAGCATGTGAAGAAGAGGCAATTGTAGATTAACTGACTATTGGAAAACGGACCTCAGGAAACAGCTAAGGCTGGGGCTGAGAACAGCACAGAACACCCACTCCATTGCCATGCGGGCCTGAGGGGAATGCAAAAGTCCTTATCCTAGTCCAGATTTTGACATCAACACTGAGAAAAATTCATTCACAAATAATTTTCTGACAGATACATTAATAAGCAAATACTTAAAAATGCTAGTAATTCTGTTGTATACTATAAAGCTATTGTAACCAAATCGGCATGGTATCAGCATAAAAACAAACACATAGACCAATGGAATGGGAAAGAGAACCCAGAAATTAATCCATGTATCTACAGCATCTGATTTTTGACAAAGGTACCAACAAGACTCACTGGGGAAAGGACAGTCTCTTTAATAAATGGAAAACTGGATAACCATAAGCAGAAGAATGAAATTAAACCCCAACCTCCCATGCTATACAGAAATTAACTCAAAATGGATCAAGGAACTAAATGTAAGACCTGAAAAACCACTAGAAGAAAAATAGGAGAAACGCCTCAGGACAGAAACACCTCAAGTTGGGGGAAAGATTTTATGAATAAGACCTCAAAAGCACAGGCAACAAAAGCAAAAGTAAGTAAAAGGGATTATATTAAACTCAAAAGCTTCTACACAGCAAAGGAAACAGTCAACAGAGTGAAAAGCCAACCTACAGAATGTGAGAAAATATTTGCAAATTACTCATCTGATGTGGGATTAATATCCAAAACATAAGGAACTCAAACATTGCAACAGAAAGAGAAAAGCCTAATTTAAAAAATGGGCAAATGATCTGAACAGACATTTCTCAAAAGTCACATAAATGGTCAAGAAATACACAAAGGAAAAATGCCCAGCATCACTAATCATCAGAGAAATGCAAATCAAAACAACAATGCAGTCTGTCACACTGATTAGGATGGCTATTATTAAAAAGACAAAACCAGGGCAGTGCCTGTAGCTCAGTGGGTAGGGTGCTGGCCCCATATGCCGAGGGTGGTGGGTTTGAACCTGGCCATGGCCAATTTGCAACAAAAAGTAGCGAGCATTGTGGCAGGTGCCTATAGTCCCAGCTACTCAGGAGGCTGAGGCAAGAAAATCACCTAAGCCCAGGAGTTGGAGGTTGCTATGAGCTGTGATGCCACAGCACTCTACTGAGGGCAATAAGGTGAGACACTGTCTCAAAAAAAAAAAAAACAACCTAAAAGACAAAAATAAGTAATTTTGTGTTTTGATCACCTAGAGTGGTACCTGGTACATAGCGGGTTCTCAACGAAGTGTTGTTTTTTTTTTTAACACGCAATTCTTTTATTTTAGACATGTAAGGAAAGCTATTTCAAAATCTAGTAATTTAAAGCAAGCAGCTGTATACAGGTAACAAAAGCAACATTTTGTTACAGCTCAGCACACAGAACCCAAAGCAAACAGGCACGAGATAATACACATTTATGTAGCCAGATGAATAACATGTGGTGGGGCAGAGGAAAGGATGGAGGAAACAAATGGAAATGAAAGACCAATGTCTCTCAATGCTTCAAATGTATAATGCTAAATTTCTCATTTGATAGCACATCCAGGTGCTTCAAATGTAGTGCATTACAGCAAAAATAGTGAGAAAGGGAATAATTTATCTGTATATCTGCCCCATATTGTTTGGTCAAAACACATTTTCATAAGTCTTCTCTCAGTGGTAAACCAATTTGCTCATGTTCTGAAGTTGTTTTTTAATAACTTACTCAAATCAGGCTTTAAGTTCACTAGACATAAAACAATGAATTATCTAATACTTTTCCTTTTATAATAAAATATACTATATGCTTTATTGAAATATGATAGTGGTAAGTATAAAAATATTTAATATTTGAAAATATAAAGCTACAGTTAACAAAGTGTTAAGGGTTTAAATGAAGACTTAATATATGGGAAAGGCATAACTAGTAAAATACAAGTGTTTAGGAATTGAAACTGAACGTTAGAATTTTTAAATAAGGTCTTTATGAATGTGTTGCCTTACTCTATGCCTAAATGATAGTGGGTGAATTTCAGGTGACCCTGTATGATTTTTCATTGTAACATCAGATCACTAAAAAGTATTTTTATTTCTCACTTTTTAGTCAAGGCTGCCAAGACCTCATCTCAAATCTGGGCCAGCACTGGGGAACGCACCTGGCCACTAAGCAGTCCAGCCAACTCCAGACTCCTTGTGCCCAAGACCTGCCCTAATAAGGCGGTGCTCAGAATTAGTCCTGGGTCACGTGAACTCCGCAGCCGGACAGGCGGCGGGCGTGTTCTTCCTCACACATGCGCACATTTTCTTTGCTTGTTCTTGGAGGAAGGGGCGCAGACTCAGAGCCCGGGCCCGGAGGCGGGGCTGAGAGAAGAGGCGGGGCAGTGGCTGCGCGCGTGCGCAGAAGGGAGCTCACCGGCTAGGTTACTGTGGCCGGAGTGGCGTGAACGACCGAAGATAAAATGCAGGTGAGTGAGGTACCCGGTGCAGAGTTTGGAGGCGGTGGCCGCTCGTTTGTCCCGTTGGTCGGCTGCCGGGCTTGCGGGAAGCGCCGGGCTCCGCAGGCATGAAGAGGAGGTCACGCCAGTCTAGGCCCCGCCCAGACGCGGTGCGGGAGGGCGGCCGGGGTCCCCGGTGGGCCAGGACTGAGTGTCCCCTCCGCACAGTGCCTAGAACCCAAATTTCTGTCCTTCGGGGCTTCCTCGATGAATCTTTAGGTCTTTCTCCACCGGGTCCTGTGAACGACTTGCCGGGTCCCACGTGACAAAAGTTACTTGCTATTTGTTACCTCCCTTAAGAACTGTAGGGATGTGGACACTGAGGCATGGAGAAGTGGGGGTCCGGCCTTGGTGGGAGGGGTCCTGCCCAGTAAAGCGGCGGCGGAGCCCGCGTTCCTGGCTGCACTTAGAGCTGGCTAAGGGCTAAGTTAACACCCTCTTCCTCCGAGTCCTGGTGTCCAATTGGGGTGCGCCCCATTTCTGACCACCAGGGTTCCAGAGCTCAGCCCAGGGGTTCCTCTGCTCAGTGCTGGAAATTTACCTTGAAGTGAATAACATCAAACTCCCCTAGTTTTGTGTTTTTTTCGATAAGTGGGATGTTCTAATGGAGTTTGACTAAAACATAAAGAAAATGAATGCTCCGCCAAACACCTTGGAAATAGGCACCCTTCTGAGCAAAACTCTGTGACAACTAAATTTTGCCACTCTCCAAGGACCCAGCCCTCCCTAATCTCGCTGTTGGCAGGAATTCTGGTTAAGTAGCCTCTGTGCAGTGACAGATGGGAAATGGAGATGGTATGGGATTGCTTGGGAGTGGGGTGGGAGGCATTGGGGGCAGTGGGAGATGACCATCTGTAAGGACAGTGAGTCTGCCACAGCCAGACACTCTTAAACCGCAAAGAGGAAGCTCAGGGACTGCGCTGACCCCTCTGCATCCTCTATCCTTCAGGTCCCTGCTTTAAAATGCCACCTGTTCTGAGGCCTTCCCTGACCACCTGGTGAAAAGGATTCTGTTCATTTTTCTATCCAAGTATTTCAGCAAGATTGTTACACAGAGGCAGGGCTGGGGCCTGGTTATCCCAGAGCCCTCTTCCACAGTGCTCTTTGATTTCTAGTTCCAAACCAAGTCTGGGTTCCATTAGTGGTGTTCCTGCCACACTGCCAAACTGGTGCTTGGGCAGCTGGCATCTGGATCTAAGAGCCCACTTTGACATTGATCTTTCTGACATTTGAACCTCATATATTTGGCCACCTGTTCAAGCAGGGCAGAGGTGTCTTTCTAAACACCATGCCTCTCCTAAGCTTGTGAGGATTAGGTGAGTAGGTACAGGTAAAGGGCTTAGAAAAGTGCCCTGAACTTCGTGTTTAATAAACATTAGCTGCTAAGAGCTGCTCCGAGAATTCTGTCACCCTAGTCCTAGGCTCTCTTCCCCCTCCCCCCCCCCCCCATTCTTCTGCAGCCTCTCAGGGCTTAGAGATGCTCAAAATGTCACCATCTCTTTGCTCATGGGCCCTTTGACCATGCTGGTCCCTCTGCCTAAAAAGCTGTTTCTTAAGGCCTTATATTCCTGTGGCTGGTTCAGGTGATGGTTAAATGTTACCTCCTATGGAGAACATCTCTGTCCACCCTGTGTAATGTGGATCCTTGTAACTCTTGACCAGCAGCCTGTTTGTCATTGTTCTTGCCACAGGTATCTGCGTGTGTATGTGTGTTTATAGTTTGTATATATATACTTGTTCAGTACTTGACTTTTCCTCTGGACTATAAGGCAGGTGGCTGTTCAACCATGCTTCTCTGTTGTCTAATACATGTAGTAGGTACTTAAAAAACAGTTGACTGAATCATTCCAAGTCATTCATATAATAAAAACATTGAACAGAAGTCAGATCAGAGCCTTGGTATCAGTCCTGATGCTGATCTGCATATGATATCCTGATTTTTAGCCAACACTAGCTCCAGGGACTGTGGGGCTTTTCATACTTTCTTGGAAATAGACCACAGAGTAATTTGGTTTGAATTCCCCTTTTCCCACCATTTTGCCTATATGGCCCCTTGCCCAGTATGGCGCCCTCCATACTGGAGTTTTGCACTCATGGCAGCCTTTTTCCTCTTATTCTAGGACCCCAACGCAGACACCGAGTGGAATGACATCTTACGCAAAAAGGGCATCTTACCCTCGAAGGAAAGTCTGAAAGACTTGGAAAAGGAGGCAGAAGAGGAGGAGCAGAGAGCCCTCCAGCAGTCAGTGGGTGAGCTTGCTCAGTTCCTTGTTCCTTGTCTTTCTGGGTTAGCAGACAGCTTTCTAAGCTGCTGACTACTGTGGTAGAAGGATCTGTTTTGGGGGGGGGGTTTTTGAGACAGAGTATTACTTTGTCTCTTTGGGTAGAGTATTATGGCATTGTAGCTCATAGTAACCTCAAATTCCTAGACTCAAGCGATCCTCTTGCCTCAGCCTCCCAAGTAACTGGGACTATAGGCACATGCCACAACATGGGGCTATTTTTCTATTTTAGGTAGAGATGGGGTCTTACTCTTGCTTAGGCTGGTCTTGAGCTTCTCAGCTCAAGCAATCCACCTGCCTTGGCTTCCCAGAGAGCTGGGAGTGGCTAGGAGCCACTGTGCCCTGTGTAGAACGATCTTCTGAGCAGGAGAAGGGCCAGAGTGCTGGCACTTCTGTGGGACCTCAGGTGAATCACAGGGTATCTCTAGCCTTCACCTTCCTAGGCCATAGACTTAGGGGGACTTCAGAGGTCCTTTTTAAGTCATTGTCTGACTCAGATGAGCATGATACTCCTAAAGAAAGCATTTTTGAGTCTTGACTTTCTGGTCTGTGATTCACTTTAAATAATGTCAGTGAAATTTGATTAAAGTTTTCAATGTTTGTATTCTCCCGAGTTATACTTTATCATCTTTGTGGATTGACTGAGAACATTAAAATAGTTTAACTTGAGGAAACAAGATGTTTGTAATAAGTTGGGTGAAAGAGGGGTTTTCTCAAAGGTAGCCAAGCTACCTGGATTGGAATTCCTCGGAGTATTTGTAAAGGAAAAAACCCATCTTTACCGAATCACGATATCTGGGGTGGAGCCAGAGAATCTGCATTTTAAATAGGTGCCATGAAAGATTTCTGGTGCATGCCAGAGTTTGAGAACCACTGATCTGGGGACTAGTACTTTTGTCCTCTGCTTACATTTTGTCATTAATATAGAGAAGGATTTATTAGAAAATATTTATCCAGCAAATGTTTATTGAATGACTAGCACATGTCATGTGCTACTCTGGGCGATGGGGATTTAGGTATGCACATGCCAGGCAAAATTCTCTGCCCTGTGGAACTTACATTCTAGTGGAGAATCAGACAATAAATTGCCAAAGGTTCCAAGGGGTGGAGCAGCCCTGGGGAGGTGGGGAGAGGAGAGAGCCATCAGTGAATCGAGGGTCATTGTTGACCTTGAGGAGGGTACTTTGTGGAGTGATGAGGGGTGGAAAAAATCTGATTTGATTTTGGGAAGTAGTGTTTATGGCAGCAAAAATACAGATTTTATAGCAGTTGGTTACAAGAAACAATAGAGCTGCTTATCACTCTAAATAAAAGACAAGGAAGTACGTGATAATCTCCTTTAACTCTAGGAAGTGTGTGCATGGGGAGAACATCGAACAGTATCCTCTGTGTCCTTGGGTGATGTGAGAACTATTCATGTACTTGGAAATTGGACCAGGTGACTTCAGACAGATCTCTCATTTTATACACTTGGAAAATCCATACCTTATTATTGTGTGGAGGTAGGAGAGTCAAGCCTGCAGGAATCAAACTAGGTCTATCTTTTTCATAAAAGCTCTCCACTTCTACTTTTAAAAAAAACTTTATTAAAAAAAAAAGCAACTTAAGTATTTTTATTTCTTTCCTTTTTTTTTTTTTTTTTTGCAGTTTTTGGCCAGGGCTGAGTTTGAACCCGCCACCTCCAGTATTTGGGGCTGGCACCCTACTCCTTTGAGCCACAGGCACCACCCACCTTCTTTTTTTCTTTCTGGTGGGCTGGTAGTCTTTTGGTGTTATGTGCATGATTTTAGAGGAAAAGCAAAGGGAAAAAAGCTAGTACATGTCTGTTTATCTTTTTAAATGTTTTATTCTTTGCCGATATTCACTAACTTCAGTGAAAACATATGAAGATATGACTTTGGAAGAGCTAGAGGATCATGAAGATGAATTCAATGAGGAGGATGAACGTGCTATCGAAATGTACAGGTTAGTGCTGCCCAGAGAGACGGTTTGTTTTTTGGTGTGGTAATAAAATGTGTTTCCTTTGAAAAACTAATTTTCCAGCTGAGATAACCTTTGGGAAGGGCAGTCATTAAATAGAAATATTGCAAATTTCAACAAACTGGTCTTAGACTTTTGCCATGAGAAATAATCACAGCTGGACCATTGCAGATTGTCTTCTGCAGGACACATGTGTGTGTGCCCTGTGCTTGTGTGTGCATCTGTGTAAAATGCTTCTCTCCGCCTGTGGTATAGGCAGCAAAGACTGGCCGAGTGGAAAGCAAGTCAACTGAAAAATAAATTTGGAGAAGTTTTGGAGATCTCAGGAAAGGACTATGTTCAAGAAGTTACCAAAGCCGGCGAGGGCGTGTGGGTAATCTTGCACCTTTACAAACAAGGGTGAGCTGATCTTCCATGCTATCTGTAAAATAGTAATTTGAATTTATGTTTTGAATATCTCAAGCTTAATCCATATCAGAGGGGTTTTTTTCTGTTTGTTTTGTTTGGCTGCTTTTTTTGGTATCAAGTTAGGTGTTTTGTTGCTGGCTTGCTCAAACCTTGGTGCCTGATTTTCATCTTTCAATTTAATATTTGTCACTAATACAAATGACCCTGTTAAAGTGTAGCAATGAAGACTTTGCTTTTCCTTTTCTGAAAGGAAATTCCTAAGTTCTCTATCCTTCTAGAAGAACTCTGGCTTTCAGAATTCCACATGGGTAATCCCTCTTACAGACGGTGAGCTGGCCTCACAGTGACAGCCAGTGCTAAGTGATACTGAGGTCCTCTGGTGTTTTCCACGTGCCCAGTCCTGCTTTTAAACTGTAGAGTCCAGTGCCTGTTGAGGAATTTCTTCAAAGCAGGAAATGCTTTCTGGGACGTGGTTCACACATTCTAAATCTTCAATGGTATGTCATTCAACCGTACAGAAAGGTGTGGCAATTATCTTTTACATTGACGTTTTTCTGACTTACTTTTGTGTCAAAATAAATTGGACTTTGGATTTAGAGTTCTTCACTTTCTCTGAGCATATAGGACTTTGGATTTAGAGTTCTTCACTTTCTCTGAGCATATATAGAAATGTTTTAAAAAAAATATTAATCCATTTTAACTAGCAGCAGAATCACTTGTGAAACTGTTGTGAGGCTTCACATAAGGTAGAAGTAGTTGAGCTTTTTAGAATTTAAATGTGGAATCACAGTTGTTTCTGTTTTTCTTTCTCTTTTATAGGATTCCCCTCTGTGCCCTGATAAATCAATACTTCAGTGAACTTGCCAGGAAGTTTCCTGATGTCAAATTTATCAAAGCCATTTCCACAACCTGCATACCCAACTACCCTGATAGGAACCTGCCCACAATATTTGTTTCCCTTGAAGGTGAAATCAAGGCTCAGTTCATTGGTCCTCTGGTGTTTGGCGGCATGAACCTGACCAGAGATGGTAAGGGGCTCTTGGAGACAGCCGAGGGCAGTGAGGGTGCAGAGGGATGTTTCTGTTGAAGAGAGTACTTATTTCCTAGACAAGTGTCACGATACTTTGTCAGGTTCTCCTTTGCCTCCATGTGGGTGGTTGTTAAGAGGGAAGACGCACATGTAATGTCTCATCTCAGGCAAATAATCAGAAGCCGTTACAACCAGACCCTAATAGTTACTCAGTTAAAGGAATGCACAGTGGACTTCAATAAGTATATTTAGTATTAATGTGGAATTTGTTTTGTCTCTGCAGCTGAGGGTTTTAAGTAGCAGATGAAGATTGCAGGACTCATTTTTATTTAATTCATAGGCCTATATAGTGACAGATGCTAATATATGTATTTCTCTATGGAAATATTTTTTCAGTTGAATATCTTAGTAGCTTTTACATTTAAATGAAAATTTTATTTAATCCTGTCTCTTAACCCAGAAAGATGTGTTTGTTTGTTTGTTTGTTTGTTTTCCTTTTGAGCTGTTACACACAGAGGTGTCAAAGTACACATCTGCATGCAATGTGGAAGAAATCTGAGGCCAGAGGCTTTCATACCAAGTAAAATTCCTTATCTCTTTGCTGAAATAATATACTCAACTATGCTTTACTAGTCTTCTAAAAGCACAGTTTTAAGCATGACTTTATGATACTAGACCACTAAGATATTCAACTGGGAGGAACATAAACATGCACATGTATACACATGTGAGATACATTAGTTACATGTTTGTTCAAGGGCGTATAGCTTTTCAGACTACGTTTATTTGCCTCTTAGTTTGACTTTTTTGAATGTATTATAAGGGGAGGGAGATAGGTGTATAATCATAGAGTCTTTATTTCTAGAAAAAGTCTTATTTGAGGACTAGTGCGCTTATATATAATGATGCTATGTGTAGGTGAACAGTAACATTACATATGTAGACATATGTACATGTGCATATGTATGGATGTATAAATATTTTCTTGAGTCAAGAATTAGAAGTCTTGGGTTGTTCTAAAGAAGTTTGTTGAATTTTGGATAACATTGAGCCAAAATGCTTAGAACTGGAAATAGTGATGTTATTCATCTCTGTAGCGCATTTTCCCCCGACCCTGCGTTAAGGTGATTGACAGGGAAAACTGTATATGTTTCACATGTGCAAAATGATGTGATGTGCATACAATGCGAAATGATCACCACAGAGAAACTAGTTAACATAGCCATCAAATCACATATTATCCTTTTCCTTTTTTTGTGGTGAGAAAAGAGATCTACTCTCTGAGAAAACTTTGAATATATAATACATGATTATTAACTGTAGTCACTGTGCTGTACACTAGATCTCCAGAATTTATCTGTCTTATAAGTAAAAGTTTATGCACTTTGACCGATGTCTTCTATTTACTCCCAACCCCTGGTAACCACTGTTCTAGTCTGTTTCATGGAACACTTCAAATTCATATGACTTCAATAAATCAGTTGTCAGAATTTAATAAAAGTACCCAATTAGTAGAACGTCTCTGCACTGATCTTCCTTTAAGCCAGGATAGTCGTTTTAGGATCTCTTGAGTAGTCCCTTACTTTAGCTTGGGTTCTTCTATGCATCATTTAATTTCATGAAATTAATTAATTTCATAAATTACATCATTTAATTTCACTTCACAAGGTCTCACACCATGTGGAGTTCGAGTGAGATATAGGAGCTGAGTCTTTAGTCACTGATACTTTACTTTTTGGAATTTTATTCATTTATTTTTTATTACTGAGAACAATGTATCAGTTCAAGGGTGTCATTATACATTTATCCTTTGACCCAAGATTGGGGTATTATTGGACTTGAGGCTGAAGAATTTCCTTTCATTAACTAAGATTAGATTTAGTGATTAGATTGCCAGCAGGCCCGTGGAAATTATTTCTTTTAAATGTTTCATGCTGATTTCTTGCCTGAGAAATTGTCCAAGGCAGGAAACTGCTGCATCAGAGGATAGGCTTATTCTTTGTATTTTATTTTAATTTCCTTATAGGTTCAAGTTTAAACAATATCTCATTCGATCTCATCTTCTGAAAATATGTTTGAAAATATTTTGTGTTTTCCTTCTTAAATGAATCATTTTTTAAAAAGTTTTCTTTAGGCACCTTGAACTTACAGTAGTAAAATCAAATTGTCATCATTTTGATAACTGGTGTTTTCTGCTTAGAAAAACCGTGGCTGACTGGATTCCGGGTGTGGGGAGCAGTGCCCATGGTGCTTCATGGATTTACCTTTCTTTATCATGTAGAGTTGGAGTGGAAGCTGTCTGAGTCTGGCGCCATCAAGACCGACCTGGAGGAGAACCCGAAGAAGCCGATTGAAGACGCCTTGCTGTCCTCGGTGCGCTGCTCTGTCCCCATGAGGAGGGACAGTGATTCTGAGGGTGACTAGAGCTGTAGTTGCCACAACTTGCCGAACTCGTGATGGGGCGGATTGTCTGGATTTTTGTAAAAAAGAAAAAGCAAGAAGGAGCCCTTTTGGTTTTTAGCCTTTTATAATTATGTTTTAAATCTCAGATGTTTTATAAATAATTATTGGTGGGGATTCTATTAAATTTCTTGGAACTCTCTTTTTAAATTATATTTCTTTTTTAAAAAATTAAAACCGGTTTTTAGAATAGCAAATGTCTGTGTTTTCCTCCCTTATATTTTAAGTAAGCCATAAAATCTAGTCACTATTTTTTGATGTATAGAAAGGAATATGGAGTTTTAAATGTGAATAAATTATACAGTGGATAATTGCAAACTAAGCTTTACAGTTATATTGTTTTATTTTTATTTTATAAAGGTAGCAATGGGAGTATCAACTCAATTAAAATATAAGCACAATATCGAGAGGAAAAAATCTTAGTGTTTATCTTATGTAAAAGAAATAGATAATTTTTGTGAAACTATTGTCATATCAAAGCAATAACAAAGATTCCAGTTTACTGCCATATTTGAGTAAATGTGTTTTCTAGTTAAAATACTGTTTATCTCAGACTGTTGAGTATCAGCTATTTTGATTCCAGAAAAGTCACCTTAAATTATTTTTCAGAAATAAAGATACAAGCACACATATAGATAGATAAACTGTATCTCATTCAGTCAATAAAAAAAAAAAATCCCATTGTTTTCTGAACCAGAATCTTGTTAGCTGTATCACTTCTTGTCAAATTGACACTGATAACAGAAAAATTAGGGGAAAAATTATTTTCTGATATTTGTGTTGCCGGACATAGTGCTTAATGCTGGTTTTAATCTTAAAAATCCGAAGCAGAGCATGGAGTTCTTTGATTATATTGTTAAATTCAATTTTGCTTTAATTTGAAGAATGATAGGCAGCTGTCACCCATCTTATCTGTCAGAGGTGTCTGTCTGAGTAGTATCTGATTTTCTATATACATGAGAGCCTGTGCTGCTGATAAAAATGTACTCTCTTCGTGGTTTACTTTGAAGGGTGTCTAATGAATTTTAATCAGAGGGTTGAAATAATTTTGGTCAGTTCTATCACAAAATGCTGTTCCCGTGGGATTTGAAGGAGCGCTGCCTTCTCAGAATTTCTATTGGTAGCTGACATTATCATGAAATGTCGGGAGAAGAACAAATGTGGTGAGTTTGATGCTGCATTTGCCTGGGACCTTTAATGTGTGCACTTAGAAGGAAAAGAGAGCCTACATGACTGGGGCGGCATCCAGCAGGATCTAATTCTAAATGTTTGCTATACCTCTTTGATCTAGGTGTGAAAAATCATCATCATCTTTCCTCCAGGCCAGACTAAGACACGTAGTTTGCAGCAAAAAGCTCAGGTGCCTGTATGTGGCCTTGGTGAATGAGCCTGTCTGGCCACTCAGGACCCAGACAGGTGTTTAGTCATCTGAACTTGGATTGGAGAGAGAAGCATCTCTATCTCAAAATTTTGACTGTGATTTGGAACTTGACCTGCAAGTTTCCAGGCTGTTTAAACCTGGGAGATTTCCTCCTTACTATTGCCTTCTGGGTCCTTGGGCACGTGACTGGAGTGACAAGGGTGATAAAGCTTGGTAATAAGGATTGAGTTCCCCCAGTTGCATAGCAGGGACACAGTGGCAGGGAAGGGCTCCTGGAAGCCGTCTTCTGTGCTGGGTGGGAAGGGTTAAGTGGGTGCTAGGTAGCCTGTAAGTGGTTGGCGGGAATGGTTCCAGAAAATTGAAATAGTAAATGATGGGGAGAAGTGAAATGAGTAGGATCGTGTAGTCAACTACAACTGATTCTGACATCCTTACTTTGCAGAGGAGAAAAAGGCTGTGTACACCTCCTTCATCAAAAACCTCACTTCACATTCTCGGGCCCCATGGTGGCTGGTCGCTGCTTCTGCAGAGGCCCACAATGGAACTGCTCCCTGGGGGTTCAGGACTGGCTCAAAAGGCGCTTTGTGACAGAAAAGCATGGCTTGGAAGGGTATCCTCTGTCACCAGTGCCTATATTTTTAAAAAATCATCTATTGTCTCTAGTTTCAAATTCTTACATAATGATCCCAAATGTTGACCTAGGACTTCTCAGGGTGGCATGACGAACCACTCGTGTTGTGACCGTGCTGCCTACTTTAGAATCGTGTTCCCATGACAGTCATTTTGTCCTGCTGCAGAAACCAACTGTTACTCAGAATGAATGTAATAACAATGAAAAGTTTTTAATATTGTGAGAATTACTAAAATGAGACAGATGTGAAACGAGCACGTGCTGTTGGGAAAATGGTGCTGATAGATGCCGCCACAGACCTCCAATTTGTTAAAAGCCCGATAACCATGAAGTGCAATAAAGCAGTGCACAGTAAAATGAGTGAGGCCTGTGAATTGGTTGGGGGGGGGTTCTACAAATGTCTTAGTAAGAGCCAGCTCTGATGCCTTTTTCTGTTTGTTTTGATGATGGCGCTTTCTTGATCCTACCAGAAGGTGGCGACAACTTGACTATACTTGCCACCCAGCCAGCGGTAACCACGGGATGCACCTGATCTCAGATGTTAACAAAGAGGGGAGAAAGTGCTTAGAACTGGTGAAGTGGCATAGTATTACCCCACAGTGAAGGTATGTTAGGATATTTTTAGCACGACTATTCTAGCTTTTAATTTTGTTTTTTTTTCTTTTTTATTGAATGGTAACTATGTACATTAATGCACTTCTGGGGTACAGTGTGGTGTTTTCACACACAATCCGAAACACTTCCATCAAATGGGTTAACATAGCCTTCATGTCATTTTATTAGTTATTGTGCTAAAATGTTCATATTCTACTATTAGAAAGATTCACTTGTACCCTTGTAAGATAATCCACATAATTTTTCCCTCCATTTCCTCCTCCCTCCTCGCACCCCACCCTCCTGGCCTTGGTGAATGAGCCTGTCTGGCCACTCAG